CCTCTCCCATGTCCCCCCGGAACTGTCAGTCCCATTGTTTTCTCCACCAGATGGTTCATCCAGCCTATCTTATTTAGACAGACCTGCAGAGACAATAACATGCACAAACACAACACAGAGCAAAACCAAACAACAATATACCACTGACAACATCAAAACACAGGAAGCTTGTCGTTAGTTCAAGGATCGTTTCTTGTCATCCCTGTGATGTATATAAATTTTTTTTTTGCTATTAGGATTGTCCTGCTGACTCTGCTCTAGTTGTTGTAAATTTTGTGCCAGCATATCAGTCATGAGTCTTTCTTCCTTTCTCAGGTGTGCATGTATTGCTATGAAACTTCCTCTGATGATTGCCTCTGCTGTGTCCCATAAGGTTTGGTATGTCGTGTGCTCATTCTTGTTGGTTTCTAGAAATTTCCTAATTTCATCTCTGATCTGTGCCTGTATGCACTCCTTTTGCAATAGTTATTCATCCTCCAATTGTTTGCTCTTGCTTCCTTTGTCTTCCTTATGGCACAGTGGGCAGAGAGGGGTCTGTATGATTCTCAGTCTATGATTGTCTGTAGCCTTGAGATGTGTCTCCTGTAGGCAGCAGATTGAGGGGTTGTGTTTTCTAAGTCAGTCTGCTAGTCTCAGTATTTTAATGCCTTAGTTCAGGCCATTGATCTGCGGACTCTGTGATGTTACACCTTTTTTGTTGAGAGTTTTCATGGTGTCACTCTGAGTTGGAACAGACTGGGTGGCACCTAACAACAATGGAGACCCCCAACACTGAAGCAGGTACATAAGCATTCGGAGCTGGGGGTATTGCCCAGTGCCATTTGAGAATATCCAGCCACCCCAGATCTTTCACCTCAATTCCTACCTGAGGCATTGCTGGTTCCATAGAAGTGTTCTTGCCTTCCATGAGGGAAACTTGAGTTCAATTTTCAGTTAGTGCACTCGAGTGTGTACAGCTACCACTCATCTGCCGTCGGAGGCCTGCATGTTGTTAGGCTGTTGAACAGATTTCAGCTGAGCTTCTAGACTAAGTTGGGTAGGAAGAAAGGCCTGATGCTCAGTCTACTTGCTAGAGTAGACTGAGAACTGTAGGGATTACATCGGTCCACGCTTCACTGGAGTTCAACATGTCGCAGCACTGGGCAGTGCCTTACTCTGTTGTACAGTAGTCACCATGAGTCCAGGCAAGTCTGTGGCAACAAGCAACAACAGGGACTTCCAAATGGTCAGAATTTTACCGTGGGAGTCATTGCTTTGACTTTCCATTGTTGTTGGGTGCCATCCAGTCCGTTCCAACTCAGAGTGACGTCATGACAACAGGCGGAAACAGCGCCGGCCTCCCATGGCGGCCACAACAGCAATCCTTCCCGTCAACAGTCCTCCTCTTTTTGATTGTCCCCCTGCTTTCCCAGGCATGTCCTTCTCCACGTTCTGGTCTCTCCTGATAATGTGTCCTAAGTACGTGAGACAAAGTCTTGGCCGTCCTTACCTCTAAGGGGCATTCTGGTGGTAATTCTCCCAAGACAGATGTGTTGATGGTTTTGGCAGTCCACAGTACAAGGGTCTCTGTTAGTAGTTCAGAAACTAACCGTTGGGTCTGTCCATTACGCTTTGTCCCCACCTCAGCAAACAGCTTGTCATTTGTGGCTTAGGTCAAAGCAATAGAATAAAAAATGTGACAGCAGCCTCGAGGGGAGAGGGGAGTCCTCTTTGGCCCAACTTCTGGAGCTTCGGATTTGAAAACATGTCAAATTAGCTAACAATCCTCAGGTTATTTTATGGGCTAATCTCATTTATACTGCAAAAGGTAACCAATCATTGATTACCATCCTGGAATATAGTCATCACTGGGTCTTCTACTTTTAAACACCTCCAACACATAGGAAAAAGGGCACCTCCTACATTTCCATCCACTGAGCCAGGCTATGTGGGCAACGTGTTGCTTTAACTTACTGTGCTACCCTCCCATTTATCGGGGGAAAGATGAATAACTCTTATAAGTCAAACTCTACTTCTTCACTGCTAGGGAAGATCCCAACCTCTTTCCAACCCTGAAGAACTTAAGATTTGAAAACGTCTCCGCACCACAATGAGTATCATACGTACAGGTCTGACCCATCTAACTTGTAAACATTTTAAATAGCCATACATCAAAATACATTACTATACGAACTTGGATGCTTTCAGAAATTTTCTTCCCAAAAGTCTCAAGGGCTTTTTTTTTTCCCTCAGCAATCCAATGCCCCCAGCAAAGCAGAAAACCGATCTTTCAACGAACAGTCCGTAATAGGTTAAGTTTCCATATTTTATTAAAATAGCATATTCATCCACTGTTAACCAAGAATAGGTTAACCTTGTTTTCTCCCAGAACACGCAGCACGACACAGTAGTGATTCCGACGTCCGTAATCATGATATAACCAAACAGAAGTATTTCAAAAGTCAAGTATGTAACTAAAAACTAGACCTCGGACAAATCCTGGATTGAAAGAAACATAAAGCTCTCAAACAGAATTTTTATCAGCCTGAACAATAAATGTCAGAGCGCCACCCACCTGGCAACACTGCTGTCTTCTCTTTTCTTTATGCATAGTATAACGTCTCCTTTTAAGTACCCACTTTTATAAATAAAATCGGCATTTTCATCCCATTTAACGTTCCTTTTCAGCTTCACAAAGAAACTAGTAAATAAAACTGTCAGCGACAGTCACAACATATGCTCTCACAGCAAGATAAAAAACGTGAAAATATGCAAAGATGCATCTACCCTATTTTACACGTAAAAAGAGGTTTAAAAAGTGCAAGGCAAAATCTGCAGTTTTGTTTTTTTTTTTGGAGGGGAGGTTTTAGGCACATCCATTTCGTTAAAGCAAGCTTCAGAATGAAATTCCAGTTTTGTTCTTCATGACACCTGTTTTCAGTCTTTCTTCAAAAAATAGTAAAAAGGAAAACAAACAGACACAGCCCATCAAGTGTAAAACAGGAAGGCTCCCGCCGCCCGAGATGCGAGCTTCCCTCAGTCATGGCGTGGCCGTCCTTTTTTGATTCTGGCCGGCTTGGGTTTGGGGATGTACTGATTATTTGCCTGGTACTCGAGTTCTTTGCGGAAGTAGTGGATGGCTTTGTTTAGGCCTTCTTCCAGGGGCACCTGTTTAAAGAGGAAAGCGAGTGTGAGAGAGAAGGCCACAGTAATGTAAAGTCTTTCTCGAAAGGAACTGACAGATGATCTCAGGGAACATCACAGGAAAAGGAGATTCTTACAGATTCAAGGTGTCCCTAAGAGGTCTACCAGTGTAGGGCGTGTCCTAAACCAGTCTCTTTTGAAAGCTATGGGGCAAGTTTGGCGCAGAAGCAAGCAGACATAGCGGGGAACTTCACACACAGGCCAGAGGAGGGAGGGGGAAAGATGGGGATGAAGCAGGTCAAAAGGACGGGGCCAATCCTGGCTGAGGAGCAGAGGGCTTAGCAATATCTTACAGGAGGGCATGAAGGCCAGTTCACATTTCTGTCAGCCCCCCCTCATGTTTAAGATGCCGTTCCAACTGCATGAGAAAAGCACAAGAACCAGGGGTTCTGAGGAACTTGCCCCAGTCCCTCCACCTCGCCTGGCCAAAGTCTTGCTGGGTTATCGGCAGACAGACAGGTCCAACAGAGAATAGATGAGGTGAGCCAAGCCATGAGGGGTGTGTGGCTATATGAAGATAGGGCTCCCTGCGAGCCGGAGCCACCTCCCCAAAGAATAGAGAACAAGTGGCAGATGATAACACTGAGACTCGGATGCCTGGGCCCAAGTCCCTTCACAGGGGGTACCCCACGAGGACGGGGGCCGGGACGTGACTTCAGAGCTGCACGTACCACGGGCTCCCAGCCCAGCATCAGCTTCGCTTTCTTGATGTCTGGCTTTCTTTTCTGTGGGTCATCCTGGGCTTCGGAGAGAAACTGGATTTCACTCCCACTACCTGAGTGGATTAATACAACAAAAACCAAACCGTTAACCAACATCACATACCATTTGGGATTTAAAATTTTTCCACCTCCTAGGAAAATGGAAATCTGGGAGTGAGAGAAGGGGATAGATGTCACACGTGCACCCCCTACGGGGCCGCTCACCAGAGAAGCGCATTGGTAATGGCAGTGGCTGAGTCTCGAGGGGAGGGGTGGGGTCAGGAACCCAAGCTCATGTGTGCTCCCTGAGAGCTTGGCAAAGGGGCTGCTGATTCTGCCTCTGGAAGACTGAGTTTACCAAGTACAGGAGTGCCAGCCAGGTCCAACTCCAAAGGAAAGGAAAATAGCTATGTGTGGCAGTCACATCGACAGCCCCCAATATCCACACCCCTGGTGGGCCTGCTCTTGTGGAGCACGCTCCCGTGGAGTCTGGGCTGACCTATAACTGGGTTAGCCATCAGAATGTGGGGGGCAAAGCACCTCAGGCCAGTCCCGGGCCTCCACTGTGTACACCCTGGCCACTTAGGCTTCAGTGCCCGTGCAAGACTTGCATCAACGGGTCACATGTCCCACTACCCTACTGGAAAGACCGCATGGACAAGTCTGCTTGTCCCATATCCTAGCTGGGCTCAGACCCGGGATGGCCAGCCAGCTGAATGAAGCCATCGCCAGTGACCAATGGTAAGGCCTGCAGAGCTGATGTCTCGAGCAAATGCAATGATTTTAAGTCACTGTGGTTCAAAGACAGGGGCTCCAGTGGTGTGGAGGCTACGAATTGGGCTGCTAACCACAAAGACCGCAGTTCAAAACCACTAGGCGCTCCGTGGGAGAATGTGATGGCTTTCAGTGTCCATAAAGAGTTCCGGTCGCCACGAGCCGGGATGGACTCGGTGGCAGTGAGCTTGGTGGTCCGAGGAGGTTTGTTGTGTAGCATAAGCAGACACATTCTGATTATCTTGTGTTCCACTTAGTGTCGTGTGCTCCTCACCACGCCATCGAGTCCAACTGCTCGCGGGGGCGTGTCCGAAGCTGTACATCTTCCTCCCATGGAGTGACAGACTCGAACTGCTGACATTGTTAGCAGCCCAACCCTTAACCAACTCTGGCACCAGGGCTCCTTGCATTTTGATCACCCCAAATCGACTGCCACAGAGTCAATTCCAACTGATAATGAGCCCACAAAGGGTTCCCGAGGCTGTCCATCTTTACAGGGACAGACAGGCTCGTCTCTCTCCTGGAGAAATGACGGGCCTGTGGGTAGCAGTCTAATGCCATCAGGGCTCCGATGTTTGGGATTCCGAAAATGAAACTCACGGCCATTGAGTCGATTCTGACTCAGTGACCCTAGAGGACAGGCAGAAATGCCCCTGTAGGTGTCGGAGACTGAAACTCTTTACAGGGGCAAAACGCCTCATCTTTCTCCCATGGAGTGACAACCACCCAGTGGTTTTAAACTGCTGACCTTATGGTGAGCAGTCTGATTTGTAATCACACTGCCACCTGGGCTCCTGTATTTTGGATTCCCATTTCATAAATGTGAATGTGCGTGTGGACCATCTGAGGAGCTGGACAATTGGCAGATTCTAAGTCCAGAGGTCTGAGGTGGGTAAAGCCGGGTGGTGTCACCCTGCCCTATCCCCCTGAAATGCTACGCTCTGCACTCACACCCCAAGCAAGCCAGTGGCCACAATGCAAATGAGCTCACCCAGTCCCATCTCAAGCACCAGCATATCCATTTCTTGTCACTCGCTGGAGACCTGCAATTATCGCCATGAACAAAACCCACCCCCTCTCCCCCATTATCTCGCTATTACTTAAAGAATCAGAAAACAATAAGGGTCCCTGATAGAAAGTTCTGCTTTCCCCCGATTCAATTAGCTTGTATTAATTACACATCTCCTAGTCCAGGTGCTATCAGCTGATAGCGTGAGTGCACGCTGACCTCACTCAGGAAGTGATTTATTCTACTTACCAACAAGGTTTTTAATTAACTGAGCAAATTCTAGGATCGTGTGTTCTTCAGGGTTCCCCTAAGGAAGAAAGGTTTCTGGTTATCAGTGTGATAAAAACACAACCGCTGCACCACCCATGGCCGTGCCCGACGATGCTTGTGGGCGGAACCCTCCCGCCCCCCAGCGCCCTTGTCCTTGCACTGCAGACTCTCTCTGGGCTCCAACCTATTTGTGAGGATACTTGCTCAACCTGCACCTTGACCTTTGGCAAGCCTCCCCCTTCTGATACGTGCTATCTAAGGAGAACATGGATTCACTGGTCTAACCGCCCCGATGATTTCTTGTGTAATGTAACGGTGACTTCAGTGGCGCTTTACATAAAAGTTTGGGTATGCAAAATTAGCTCTCCGAAGAAAAGTACTGCGTTAACCATGTGATTTCATGCAAACATCCAAGCCCGCACATGGAAGGAAATCACAGCAGACGTGAAGTGCAGCTCCCAATGGCTTCTCAGATGGACAGTTGAGGCCAATGAGGAAGGTGTGCAGAGTAGGATTTTAGGTCAACAGAAGGAAGGACATTCTGTTGATCGGAACTGACCACAGGTGGAGGCCAGTGCTTTGAGGACACGCAAGTTCACTAGCGCTGAGGGTTGTCAGGGCTGAAGGAGAGACTGGGCCCAACAACTCAAAGGTCCCCTCCAGCATGCAGGGAGGTACTCTGACTGTGGACACCCTGGTGGTAAGGACGGCAATCTGTACATCTGAATTACAGCTGTGGTCACTAAGCAGAAAGCTTTCTTCTTAACGATGTCCATCTGTTAAAAAAAAACCTCCTTGACGTAACTCCTATGAAGCTTATCTGAGCTATAGCCGTCACATGAAAGGCTCACAAAAACGTGTCCACCTGCCACCACGGATGGACTTTAGGACTTTTTAGATGTGGATCCTTTAGGAGGAGATGCCGAATCATAGTGACCCTGGGGGGCAGGGTCGAAATGCCTCTGTGGGTTTCTAAGGCTGTAACTTAATGGGAGTAGACAGCCTCATCTTTCTCCCGCAGAGTGGCTGGTGGTTTCGAACTGCTGGCCTTGTGGTCAGCTGCCCAGCTTGTAACCCACTGCACCACCAGGGCTCCTGTAGGTGGAGGGCAGAAGCTCTGCGTTCCCAAGGTTTTGCAGATGTTTTATTATTTTTCTGTAGCAGCTCTGTGCTTTCTTTCCCTCCAGCATCCAGCAAGGCAGCAGATGCGCACGTGCTAACAGTGCCGAGGCAGACGAAGACGACCCTGGTGTTCACCGCGAGAGGGGCTGCCGGGGTCCCGGGAGAGTGAGCGGAGAGGAGGTACTCACCAGGTTGACGGGGCTGCTGACATTGCTGTTCATCAGAGACACAAGCCCGTTCACGAGATCACTGGAGAAAGGAAAGGCCTGCTCTAGCAATGTCTCTGCTCTCTGCTTGTTGACACACGTGAGGGCCGAGCACCAAACACACACAGTCAGTTACCCACTCTCCCAGAACGCAACAGAGAACCCAAACTGAACAGCGGAACGGCGACACAAAACCCTATGCGTTCAGATGGCCCAAGTTCAGCTGAAGCCTCTGTGGATGAAATGATCTGATGGCTGGGTTTGCTTTCAGGGAGCGAGGAGCAGGGTGCCCACGAGGCCAGGCTGAAAGCTGAGTGTTGGGGGCTGATCTCTCATCTTTGCATATTTCTGAAATTAACCACCCAACTGTTTAAAGTCCACTAAAATATGCATTCGCCCAAATAGATGGGAGTCCATATGAGGGTCTGATGAAAGTCTCTGGTTTAATGTGCAGCCAGGCATCTGGCCTAGATGAGAGCAGATGATTAAAACAAGAACAAGACCCACTGAGGTGAAAGAACTTCAAGGATGTGCTCCCCAAACTGGCACACTACAAATAAAGCCCAACTCCCCTGCGGGCAGAGAGAAGCTGGAGCATCTCTCCACTCCCCTAACCTGCCCAGCGCCCCCTCCCACGAATCGCTCTGGGGTTTCTGAATGCTGCCGATGGAGCATGACTGGGCTGTGAAGGTGAAGGTAAGTAAGCAAATGTCCGCTTACCAAAGGTTTGGTTCTTATTGTCAGAGGCTTAAAGTGTGGCTCTGTTAAAAAAAAGTTACTTTGTAAAAATGACACCTCACTGCCACACACACTTGCTCTTAAGTCTATTTTAAATTGGTTCTATTTCATAAAAAAAGGACTCTTTAAGTTTCTGTCCTGGTAATCCGAATGGAATCTGTTTCCAAATGTCTCCTCCTTCCAATCATAAACGGGTTGGGGCTTTGGGGGATAGGATGTGATAACGTATTTCTGCCTCATCACGGAGACCATGGGGGAACCCTAGACGCACGCATTCCCAGCGCGCTGCCACAGGGAAAGCAGATGCACAGAACCGCTTGCCTGTGATCTTGACTAGAAACTGGCACGACGTCACAAAGCATGCCGTGGTGACACGGGTCTGAGCATCGGTCATCAAGCAGACAGTAAAAGCTGCCACTCAGCAGCATTCACTTTTAAAATACTGAAACGTGGGGGTGGGGGGTGAGAGGGGGAGTGAACATTTAAACTTCACGATGGCTAGACTCATAGGTAGTCATCGTCTTCACCGGGAGGGAAGAAGAACGGGCAGGTCAGTCTTTTGAAAAAGAAAAAGAAAAAGCTGGCAACTTTTAAAAAAGGTCAAAATCGTATAGATCACACTCGTGTAACCTGAAGCTCTTGAAAAGTGTCATTTTGACAAAGGGACTTTTTTAAGGAAACAAAACAAACACAACCCAGCATGCCTTTCTGAACTGTGAATGAGGGCGGAAGCGGACGACGTCAACGTCAAGCCGAAACTCCACGCAGCCTCAGAAACCAGCAGGGCCTGCCCCAGGCGAGTGTGGATTTGGGGACGCTCTGTGTAGTCAGGGAGCCACAAACTCAGACGTGTGTGCATTTTCTGTGGAGCCAGCGAATCTGTTTCTTTTAAAATATATATAAATAAAGGGTTATTTAAAACATACACACACGCACATACAGCTAATTTTCCCAGCATAAGCTGTATGCTGGGAAACAATCTATTCACTGTGGGGGGCTGGGTGGGAGAACATACTTCTGCAGCATTTATGAATAAAAGGCTTATTAATATTTCTAGTGACTCAGGCTATCTCTCCACATGGGTGTGTGTGTGTGTGTGAGAGAGAGAGAGAAGCTGTACCCAGGCCCGTATGTCCTGTGGGTGCCTCTGGTCCTGAGCTGCAAGAGAACTGGGTAAATGCATCAGTGAAGTTTTAAAATGTCTTAATCTCTAGCGATTAAAAAAAAATTGTATCTGATGTCTTTGGAATAGGAGTAGTAAGAGTTGGTTTGCACCAGCCCCATTTTATTGCACAAACTCTCGTTCGTGCGTTGGAGGGGTTAAAACTGGGAAGGGGGTGGGGTGGACAATGACAGGGAAGGCAACTCAACAGAACTGAACATGTGAAGCAGCTTCCAAAGCAGTACAGTCTGCGGGTAGGGCGGATGGAAAGACATCATGAACAGATGGTACTGCAGTACACAGATGCATCACAATAGTCCAGCGCTCTCTGTGCTTGCACTAAGAACTCTGAAGGGAAAGTGAGGTCTCTCTCACAGACCCCAAACCCCAGAGGGGCTTTTTCCTCCCTTCACAACACTGCAGAGTGGGAAGAAAAGGCACTGACCATTTTATAGGTCGACTCACACTTTTCATTTGGACGGAAAGTGAAGTTTTGGGACATTTTCTGGAAATGTCAACAACTGTCATTTTAATGCTTCTTCTTGATTAATTTCCACCCAGAGTCCTCACACATCAGGTAAAAGTATCGATGGCTACTCTGGTGGAAGGGGGCAAAGGGTCGTCCCAGACCCACCCCCTCACTCTTGCTCCAGGCACCCTGCAGTCCCGAGGTACCAGCAACAGTTCCCAGTGGACGGGGCTTCCAGGCCATCTGACTGCGGAGTGAAAATCTGGTGTGGAAGCGCAGGCGCTTTGTGCAATGATAGAGCATCCTGAACACACAGTCACATGGTTTACAACGACCAGGAATACTAGAAAGTACATTAGCATGGGCAACTATTTATTTGCCACCCTTCTCGGGACCCGAACTCATCTTTTCAAACTAGTTCCCAATGGAATTGACCAACCAAGCACTAGAGTGGTAAGTATTTCTATGAAAATAATGAAAATCGCACAACTTTAAAATAACTCAAGTATATCCTTTATCTGCGTTTAGTTCCACCCTAAAGTTCTACAACTACAAACAGTCTATCTTATCCTGTATCCTTCACGAGCGTAATCTCATCCACCCTGGAAAGCCACATTTAAAGTGGATGGGATTCAGGATGTGGAGGCTTGTTGGATAATTATGGTCATTCTCTTTGGTCTGCTTGTATGCCCATCACTTAAGTCATTCTCAAAGCTGAGCACGTTGACCCAACAAACACTCAACCTCACTGCCATCCAGTCCAATGCATAAGGAGCTCTGCAGACAAGGTAGCACGTCCTGAGAGTCCAGGATTGTACAAGTTTACGAGAGCACCTCGTCATTCTCCCCTTAAGAAACACTAGGTGGCAGTAGAAGCTTAAGACAACGAGTCACTGCATGCTGACCCATGAACTGCAACAGCCAACCAAGCTTCAGGATATGGATATGGATGTAATACTGCATGGTTACACAGAATTGTGAAGGGTTTGCCCACTGTAGGACTGTAATGAACTTTTCAGCAGCCATGTTCACAGACTGAAACTGATCCTGGGCTATTCAGTCTATAGACTTGGGTCTCCCAGTCAGCGCTCAGGTTAAGGCAACCTCCAGGAAGGGTGTGCTTCCTGCCATGCAGGCAGAGCGAGCGTGTCCTACCTCACATATTGGAATGCCCTCGTCTGAGATCCGGATCCATACACCTGGAAGGAAATGAAAAGTCAGTCTTCCTGGAAAAAAACAAACAAGCCTGAGCTCCACCAAGGCCCCGATGCTGACCTTGTTCTGTTCACTCAGACTTATGCCCCCAGTGACGAGAAGGTGGTAGCCCTCCCTAGCAAATGTGTATACACAATACAAAGTTATCCCTGGGGGAGGGGGTTCATAATAGAATCTTACCAAGTCTCAGGCATTGCATTAGTTCCTGGGGACTCTGGTTTCAGTCTCCTCAGGGTGACAGCCCCATACAGACACAGCAGCCCACAAAGACACAAACCAGTGGTTCTCAGCTCTCACTGCCCAGGAGAACAGCTGAGCCCTCAGCTCTAGACAATTCCTCACAACCTCTGGGGATGTGGGCCAGGCATCTCCATGCTTCAATCCAGCGAGCCAAGTGATTCTAACAGCCAAGGCTACTAAGAGCTGCCACGGGAGACGCTAGCGCTAACAGAAAGAGGTGGCAGATGAGAGGACTAGCCACACGGGCCTGTGTCCATACCTCCGTGCTCACCACACTAATTTAAGATCAGGCTTCCCTCAAGGCAGCCTGGGGCTTAGAGCTAACTTGTCAGGCTATGTTCTCCCGGGGCAAGGCCACACGGTGAGAAAAGAAAGGCTGGGGAACAGATGAACAGTGGTTTCTGTCAAAAGACTTAGACACTGGGCCTCGGAGAAGTCGATCCACCTCTCCTTTGCCATTCTGTTGGGAGTTTGCTTTCTGACTTGTGTTACGGCCTGTCATTCTTGAGTTTGCTCAGTCAACGGTGATGGGGTACAGACACACCTCCACCTACTTCCTTGAGTTTGTTCAGTCAACGGTGATGGGGTACAGACACACCTCCACCTACTTCCTTTGTATCTGCCAACCACCTTACGTCAGGGCCTGCCAGCAACAGCGGGCTCTGCAGGCCTTCTGGCGTGTTCTGCAACATTCATAGAAAGCTCACTGCACGCGCATCAGCCCTGGCTGGAGGCCAGATGCTCAGTGGAATCTAAAGTTCCACAGGACTCCCATGGTTAGGATGGCTCGCACAGGTACCGCTCAGAGCCGAGTCCACACGCAGGAAGCCAGGGCCAGCTCTCAGGCCCACCCACAGCGGCCTCTCTCCGAGTGCTGGAAGGACAGGAAGCAGGCACTGGCGGGTTTGCTGCATTGGTCAAATGGCACTGCCAAGAATCATGGCGAACACGGCTCCATGACAGGGAAAAGAGATCTGGAATGGAGACACTCAGAAGCTTGGGTTTCACCTAACTCCAAAGGGAAGTTTAGAGCTGCACCTGGGGAGTCCAGAAAGGCTACCAGAGACGGACTCGCCCGCAGCTGCTGCCTCATCCACCGCGCCTTCAGGTGGGAGAGCCACAGCCAAGGAGCCGGGCCGTCCTCAGAGACGGCACTGCAGGCACACCTTTCCCACCTTTCTGGGTGCAGGCATCCGTCTGGCCATCCCCTCCAGGCTGGGAGACTGCAGGGCTCTGCTGCAGGCACACTTGTCTCGGGGAGCCCGAGCTGTTCATCACGGGTCTGGTGCAAAAGCCCTTTAATCGCCCTCTGCCCAAAGCCATGCATTTGTTAAATGTTGCTTCGGTACCAGGGGCAAGTGAGTCAGGGCAAGGGCAGTGCTTGTGGCAGAGGTGGCAGTGGGGGAGGGGTCCCTGTGGCCCAGGGCTGTGGCAGGAATGTACAGACGATCCAAGGGTACGGGGGCTTAGGTGCAGCCTGTGATAAGGTCTTCCACCGAGGACATGCACATCGCTAGGATGCAGCGTGAATGCTGCCCCCTGGACGGGTGCATCAAGAACTCGTCCTTCCTGGAACTCTTAAGAAAGTGAGGGTGCGGTCTAGTTTCTAGATTATAATCCTCCCAAGGCTGCTAACAAGGAGTCCTGGCGGTGCAGTGGTTAAAGCACTCCACTGTGAACAGAAAGGGCTATGGTTTGAACCCGCCTGCTGCTCTATGGCAGGAGAAAGACTGGGGGCTGTGGGTGCTCTGGACACCCTCTGGGGAAGTTCTCCTCTCTGGCACGGTCACTGGGCGCACAGTCTGTACTAGGTGTGCTCAGTGTGAACGTGAACAGTACAAACGGTGGAGGGTGTGTACGTAAACACCACGCCCCCAAAAGCCTGTACCTGAGTCTCGTGCCAACTCTTAACTTCGTTCCTCAAAACGCAAACTCCAATTCACTGCCTGCAATCACTTCTGACTCACACAGACCTGACAGGACATGGTGGGGCTGACCCGGTAGATTTCTGAGACCGGCTCTTTATCTGGGAGGAGAAGGCCTCGTTGTTCTCCAGCAGAGCGGCTGGTGGTTTCAAACTGCTGACCTTTTGGCTAGCGGCCCAACATGTAATCCACTAAGCCACCAGGGTTGTTCTACTTCGTTCTTCGCACTGCAGCAATGCTGTGTGTTCCCTATGATCTCTCACTCTATGACTCCCCAAGAACACTCTTTTGGTGGGGGTGGGGGGAAGTTATGATTAGGCACTCAAAGGCAGAGGGGAGATGTATTTTATTTAAGGACCTGGCACAAAGTAGGTGCTCAGAAGTATTTGGAGATGAACAAGCAGGACTCTACTGCTGAAAGCGGGCACTCTGTCCTGCATCCCTTGCCACTGCCCCGTTTCCTCCTACTGTGAGACAGGGCAGCATTTAAGACCCTTTTCTTCATTTCACAGCATGGAGAGATGCAAGGAGATGTAGGTAGAAGAGTGGAAGTCGCTTCAGAGCCCCGAGTAACTGCGGGCTATACGCAGGCCACCGCGGCTAGGCGACTGAGAAGCTTCCGATGGAGGGGGGAGTGAGGCAGGCCTGGGAAGGGGTGGGCAGGCGGCAGCAGGATCAGTCAGGCCGGGGACATCCTCCCAATGAACACACATGCTCACTCCTGTCTCAGAGTAGCTACAGCACTGTCCCTCTTCTCCACAAATAAAGGCCCAACTTAAGACACAATAGGATTGCTAAGAATGCTGTCACACTAGTGTGGAATTGGTGTCCAAAGAATGGTTTCTTGAAAATTTCTCCTTGGAAGACAGCCAGGGTTCAAAAGGAGAGCGAGACCTGGACTCGGGCCCCAGTGGGGCTGCCTTCTGGCCGGTCCGCAGGCAGCTTTGCCTCGTCTCGCAACTGGAGATCAATCAGTCATGTGGCACGCCAATCTCAAACCCCACTGTGAACGCACGTGTGCGTGTGTGTGTTCCCCGAACCGTGTCTCCTCCGAAGGGAACTCGGTACTAAGCGCCTTCACCTGAACAGTACGCATCTGCTTTCTAACCCTACCAAACAGCGACAAGACCTTTCCAGTTTCGCTTTCAAACATTAAGCAACACTTTGGAGTACAAGCTACTGAGCTAGAGAGCCACGAGCTACATCCCCCGTGGGTTATCCTAACAGGTATCTGGATGGTAGGGACTCAAGACTCAAAGCTGCACCAAAAGAGTGACTTCTGCCAACGGGGCTCCCACAAGGGGCAGATGGCAGGGAGGAGAGGCAAGGGCCCGCTTTGGAGGCGGGAGGATCACACACTGAATGGCCCACCACGAACGCCATCTTCAGAGTTTGAAACGATGTTGGGAAAAGAGCAGAGCCAAAAGGAAAGAAAAGACAGGTCCCTCCTCTCCCCCAGCCGCCTCTACCTGGTGTGATAAAGCAGTCTTCTGCGAGGTGGGCGGGGTGAAGAGTCACGAGGCATGTGATCCTTCCCAGAACCGTCTGGCAAAATGCTTAGAAAAGCTGGCAAGGGTCATTCCACTGGGAGGGCAGAAAAGGACTGAAAGGCTAGTGATTTCATCAACGTATTCACGGGAAATAGTCCTCGTGATAAAAGCCAAAGGAAAACACTTTCTGCGCAGCCCTCCCCAAGGACTTGAACCTCCTTCCACCAGAGGGGTGGGTTTCCGAGCCAATAAACGGAGGCTGCGTCACAGCACGCACCGGAACGTCTCACCCTCACCGAGGGCACCAGCCATCTTTTTCTCCCGTCGCTGGCACAGAAGCTCGCTTGGCACGAAGACAACCCATCCATTATGACCGTCTGCCAACAATGCATTTATTCTTGCGGCAGGCCCGGGGACTTGCTCTCCGACTTAGCACAGGGGCCTGGTGGCTGCCAGGGCTGCGATAAATCAAGAAGTTGTTTCTTGGAAGGCCTCTAGCCATTTACAAACAACACAGCTCTGATCTCATGATGTCAGGAAGCATTGCGGAGTGTGGCACAGCGGAGTGGCCAAAGATGAGAAATCATTTACATGGGAACCGGCCTTAGGGGGATCGCTCTCACTAGAACCTGCTGCCAAGTCCCGCTCCCAGCGCCCTGGAGGACAGGGTGGAACTGCTCCCCAAGGGTTTCTCTGAGACTTAACTCCTTACCAGCTGATATCTTTCTTTTTCTTTTGCAGGGTGACTGGTGGATTCGAACTGCTGACTTTGTGAGTAGCGGACCAACTCATAACCCACTATGCTACTAGTGGTTTCTGGAACTCCAAAATGCAGGAAAAAGGGAAACATGGAATAAGGACCAATTTTCCGAGAAGTAATCGAGGCTTTTCTGAGCAAACATCACTGAGTCGACTGTGCAGAGGAACGTAGCCACCCAGAACCCAGGGATTAGTTCATCCAACATTTACTGCAGGCCTCCGAGGCTGGGCACGCTTCTGGGGGCCGTGGGCAAGACAGATCACTGACATCCAAGTGCTTACATCATAGGGGCAGGGATTATTCTGTCCTTTTGCTGTAAGAAGCCTTAGTCGTGTGGGTGGCAGCTCTGAGGGCGTTCTGAATCCTTCTCATCAGGGATTGAACCTAAGGATGGCCTTGGGGACTCCCCAACTTGCAATGAGGGTTGGAAGTGAGGGATTTTTGCGGGCAGCTCCCTCTACTTTCACAGAAGACCACGGCAATTAACCGAGAGGCAGGATCCAGGCAGTAGGATGAGCAGGGGCTGGGTCCTGGATCTACTGAGAGCGCAGGTCCATTTGGTGGACCGGACATGTGGTGTGTATGTGGAAAAGTGGGGAGCCACATTTGATAACAAAGCATGGGTCTTAAGGCGCTGAAAGAGGAGAGTTACCATTTACTGAGGGGTGAAGAACAAGAGGTGTTGGTTTAAGGAGGAACAGAGCACCTAGGGCTGGGGTCAGGATTCCCATCCCCCCGTAACAATGTCAGATGTCACCAGCCTCGGCGCTGGGAGAGCCACAGCAGCCTGTGACTAAGCTTTGGTTCTAACTGGTAGCACAATGGCTGCACATACAAGAACCGGTAGCAGTGAGAACTGTGCTGAGCCCTTTCATAACTGAACTATTTTCTGACTTTTGTGCTGATGTCCCGAGTGTTCAGCGACAGAAGGCATGCCGCTTTTTTAAGGTAATAGGAACTTTGGTGCGTATGGGTGGTGGTGCGTTTATCGCTAAGGCTGGTGGGTGCCATCTGTTTCTTCAGACTGACACAGTTATACAGCAGCAGCATGTACTCCAAGTGGGACAGCACCTGCCCCAGGAACCGAAGAGACTGAAACTACTGGTGGGTGACATGTATCTCGTGGGTCGTAATAGGATTTTAAGACTGTGGGCTCTGGGGCCATGCTCCCAGGATTCAAAAAACCATCTTCTGGCCATGTCAGCTTGGGCAATTTATGGATGCTCTTTGTGCTTCAGTGTTCTCATGCGGAAAACAAAAGCAACACCACCTCCCTGGGTTTAGGGAACATGTCATATTTGATCTGCTGAGCACTAATGACAGAAGACTTGACCGGCTGATAACACCAAGAACATAAAGAAAGCAAAAGGCCCTTAAAAAGGCAGGAAAGGGACAAAAGAACGGAAGTGGATGCCAGGAGAGACGGCGATTCGCTCTTGAAGGAGGAGAAGCCCAAGTGAGTGGAAGGAATGAGGAGGCGGAGACAGAGCACGTCAGGGTCTGCACAAAGACCTGTGTTAGAACGTCAACGAGAGACCGCAAACTCAGCGGGCTAGCGATGTAGGGCGCATCGAAAGAAAATGGAAAGAATACCATCTAAATATATCTATAAAGAACTGGTTAATATGCAATGATTTCAAAAGGGACAAGATTATCTAGAAATGATGGCTTTGAAGGAAGGAAGAAGTCCAAGCTGCACTGACAGACCATTAGTGAAAATCATGGCTCTAGGAAATGACGCAAGACCAACCGAAGTGTTTTCGCATGACAACGCAGCACTCTATGCCAAGACATTTGGACGACAGCTACCAGGCCACCCGACGGAAAGATCCGCCTCTGTGTCCACGCCAAAGAAAAGCGCCCCAGCACAGCATGGAAATTAGCCTAAAGATCGACAGTAGTAGTATTGCACACAAGTCAAACTCTGCTGAATATAATTCAACAGCTGCAGCAGTACAGCCAACGGGGAGCTGCCAGCAACTCAAGCAGGGTTCATTAGGGGACAAGGGATGAGAATAGCGGGGGACGGCGCAGTGCGTCGCTCTGTCATACCGGGGTTGCTATGAGTCAGAATGCACTCACTGGCACAACGACCTACACCCCACATGTCCGTTAAAGGATTAAATGAGCTAATAAACGTAAAGGGCTTAGAACAGTCCCTGGTACTTACGAAATGCATCTTTGTCTAGGTGGATGAGGGATGGGTCAATGAAAGAGGGGGCAAGAAAGAAAACAAAGTCGCTCCCGAGTTGATTTCCACTCATGGGGAACCCATGTGTCAGAGTAGAACTGGGCGCTGTAGAGCTTCCAGGGGCTGTTTGGGACAGAGAGCTCCAAGGCTTTCTTCTGAGGTGTTTGTGGGTAGATCTGCATCTCCAACCTTTCTGTTAACAGCTGGGCATGTGCGCCGTTTGTACCATGCCGTTTGTACAAAGAGATGCACCGATAAAGACCAACGGATAGCTAGATCAACAGAGAGGAGCAGATGTGATTTCCAGCACCCCCTGGAATATCCTTGGCTGCCAAGCAACCATTCTGCAGAAATCCTGAGTGCTTTCCCACTCAGGGTACCCATCAAACACCGAGTGTATGGTCGAAGGCTTCAGGAGCTGTAGCTGGAGAGAGCAGAGATGCTCAGGCAGACAAGCAGGAAGGGGAAGAGGAAAGGGAGGGGGGAAGAGAAGCAGAGAATGAGAACGCAGTGAAAGCAGAGACAACCAGTCATAGTTTAACAGGAACCCCACCCCCGAGGCACTCATCCCAGAGGGAGTTCAAAGAAGCCTGGTCTGTCCCACAGGCACAGGGCGAGGTGGGCACACGTGTGGGATACACAACCCAGCCTATGGCCCCACAGACAGGATTAGGGGGCCCCGGAAGGGGCTGTGTAGCTCTAAAGGCAAGGGTTAAGCACTGGTTGCATGTCCTCACTGCTTACCCTATTTTTGAACCACTGACCCCAGACCACCTGTGCTTAAATCTCCATTTGGGGGTCCAGCAGCTTCCCTGGATTGAGACGCAGTGGCCAGGGAAGGAGAGCTTTGCCCAGGTAAGTGTCAAGAACCGACCCCCAATCATCTCTATTTCTTCTGACGTGGTAACACCGCTCAGCAACATGAGCGACACAGAGTACACACACGGCTATGGGCCTGGCAGGACAGAGCGTAGGAAGTGACAACACGGACGAAGCCTGCAGCCCGCTGCCCTAGGGCATCATTGGGCTCCGCAGGATCTCCTCTAGAGGCCGTCAGCACACCTCTTCTGGAGCCCACATTCCCGTTTCCTCCCCTCTGTTCAGGAAGCCAATCAAAGGTGGCTGCATACATATGACCACGTCTGCCCAAAGTGGTGGGTGCCATCAGAAATGCTGTGGGCCGAGCCCACACGTGGGTTGCCCTGCAGACGTAGGTGGAGAAGGTGCCAGTGAGGCAGGCACAGGTACATACCGTGAGCGGCTCCCCCTGGAGGGCCTGCAGGATGAAGTTGCTGACCACCCGCCCGTCGTTCATGTGCATGCGCGGCCCGAAGGTGTTAAATATTCTCGCCACCCGCACTTCCACTCCTTCCTGCAGTGAGAGGGGGAGAGGGAGGGAAATGTGCTTCGTTACAACATCTGCACTCGTGCTCGCTCAGGTGCCCTGCAGGTAAAATGTTGTCAGAAAACACCCTGCTCTTTCATGTCAATGAAAGCACACTTTATCGTTTTGGTTTCTGTTTGGATTCTGTGAATAGCTCAGTGGAAACCAGTTTAGACACTCAACTTGACCCCCAGCTGGCGGACGGATTCGTGGAGACCAGTGTGTTTTAGAGAACTGCATCCCACTGGCTTTCTGCAGCAGTGAGCTTACGCGAAGGAGCCCTCGTCCTAGTGGCAGAGTGGATCGAATAAGTGCTTGGCCGCTAACCGAAAGGTTTCGTGGTTCCAGCCACCAGCTGCTCCATGGGAGAGAGGTGTGCGCTAGTAAAGATTACACACAGCCTTGTAAACCCTGTGGGGCAGGCCTATTTTGCCTCTAAGGGTCACCAGGAGTGGGAGTGGATTCAACAGCAATGGGTTTGGCTACAAAAGTGAACGCCAGGCCTTTTCTTCTGCATCGCCACTGGCTGGGTTTGAATTTTATTGGTAGCTGAGTGCAGATGTTTGAACCGCCACCCAAGGACTCCACAAGTTATACCAAAGAAAGCACAATGCGTCCCCGTCTCCATCCTGAAAGGTTCCCACCATGAACACTCTGGTAGGAAACTCTGGGGGTGCTGAAATGGGACAAGGGAAAAAAGCCACATGGCATGCATCCGATTCTATCATCTTTTTAACATATTAGGGTATGCAAACTTGCCACTCAAAAGAGATTTTTACACATCAACGAAGGTATTATAGGTGACCAGGAAAAAAAAAGGTGTGATGGACATAAAACAAAGGTTATTCCCCTACCCTGACATAATTCACATATCATACCATTCAGTAGTTCAATAGCATCAAGAAGCGTTGTACAATCACCACAATCAATTTTGGAATAGTTTGTTCATTCTTGTACTCCTTGTGATTAGCTCCCCATTTCCCCACCACCCTCGCCATACCCCCGAAGAGCTACAACTGAAGCTTCTTGTAAGCTGCCATCAAATTAGTCCCCAAATCAAGGTGAGCCCACACACAATGAAGTATGGCTGTATGGCTCTGACCCACAACCCTTCTCCCTCCCCAACCCCCAACTGATTTTGGATCAGGTCTTGTGAGCCAGTGGTTTACACTGGCAGATGCTCAGATGTTGATCCACGTTCTGCCTGAGTCTGGAAGCTCAACTGAACCCTGTTCCATGTCATGGCAACCCAGGAGCCTCCACTGACAAACTGGGATTGCTGTGCCAGGACACTGGCTCAACTTACACCCGAGTCTCCAGCATAGAGAGCAAGACTTGTGCCATTCAGCTCTCAGTGCCCTCATTATATTACTGAACCCTCTGCTGCGCCCTCTGTTCTGACTCCGCACAGCCTTTCAGGGCAGAGGCACGCACAGTGCCTTAGAAGGCTTCCAACAAGCAGATGGCCACATCTTTTTCTCTCCCGAAGCTAACATGTTACAGTTACTGTTACTAATTGTGGTTAAAAGTAACACCAAGCTTTGTAAACAATTTGAGAGAGAGAACAGATTCGAGGACTTCCCATACTTCACTACCTCTAAGCTGTATAGTAAGTATAAAACACACCCGAGGGCGTGCACCCAACACATGAGCCCTGGGAGGGGTTGAGGCCCTCAGCTTTCCCAGCCCTGTCTGATCTACTCCAGGGTCCGGTTGGGTAATCAACAGGTCCTGTGAACACAAAAGGTGTCATGTCTCAAATATATCCTGTTTGAAAATTTTTTTAAAGCCTCATTTTAGAAATCCACTCCATAAAAAGTACTCAAAATAAGGATAAAGTTTACAGCAAATCCATGTTCATTCACCACAATATTTATTGGTGAAAATGGTAAGACTTGAGAGCAGAGTAGACACAATTCATTATAAAGCCTGGAAAATACAGACACTAATAGCCCTCTCTTATGTCATGGGGTTCAGATAACTCTTTTTTTTTTTTCTTTAATGCTATGTTTTCACTTTTTCTTCTTTTTGTAAACAAACACATCTGTCTCACTGTTTTGAATAGGCAGGGGAAAGCCTATTTTTTAAAATACAGAATCAGAGCAGTGAATATGTGTTGTAAATCCACTTCTTCAAGCAATCCTATGCAATTCATTTCACAGGCTACTTTTTGTGGGTAAAAATGTTGCATCACATCTTCTGAAATGGTGAGCTTTTCTTACGCATGGGTCTGCTGTGTACATTCTGCCATTCTCTCAGCGTCTGGGGGCAGGTAGGAAAGTGTGCTGAGGGTCTTGGGTCCTTGCATCTCTCTTACCTCGCTCCGGATCCACACCACCTACCCTGTCTGGTTCTCAAGTAAAGTCAAGAGAGGACTTGTATTATACTTTGTAAGAGGCTGCATACACAGGCCAGGTGATAAACTAGTGTGAGGCAGTGAATTTGAGTTTCATGAGAACTGCTGTCAGAAGGTGCCATGGTGGTGTTCACCTTAACCTTGGTTTAGGTGCTCAGCTGCTAACAGGTTCAAGTCCAACCTGAGGGAGGGGTGGTGATCAACTTCTGAAAAATTCACCCAATGGCACCGCTACAGAGCCGAGTTCTCTGACTCATACTGGTTTACCATGAGTCAAGAGTCCACAAAACAGCCCTTTGCGGGCCTTAGTTTAAAGATGACTAGTTTCTAACTGAATTTGTTAGAGTCCTGACCACTAGCCCTCTTGCCCTCCCTCTCGTCAGTGGAATGGCAATGGGGAAAACACATATAACACACATGTGCACAGTAAAATCTCTCCATTAATAATTTAGGCTTAGCAAACAAGCTTAATAAATTAGGCTTAGTAATAACAAAGGCTTAGCTTTTTTAAAAATTCATGAAAAATAGTCAGTGAAATTAATCATAGAGTATGATTAGAAATATAGTTTAGAGAAGGTACTGATTTTTTAGATTGTGATTACTTATAGTCAAAACAGTTATTGTTTTCTTTTCTAACTCTACCACCTTAGATCTGGCAAGATTTAGGAATCTATAGGACACTCCCCTAAGCTACTGGGGCTTACGCAACACAGTATTTTTCAACCAGCACAGTGATTATATGGTGGGCTGCTAACTGAAAGGTTAGCAATTTGAAATCATGGGAGAAAGATGAGGCTTTCTACTCCCATAAAGAGTTAGTCTCAGAAACCCATGGTTCTACTCTGTCCTATAGGGTGGCTATGAGTCAGAAACAGCTTGATGTTGGTGAGTTTGGGTTACAGTGAGTTAAAGGGGGCTAGCGCTAGTGGCACCCGGGTTAAGCCTGCTCAGCTAATTGGACGGTGGGCGGTTTGCACCACCAGCCGCTCTACAGGACAAAGAGGTGGCTGTCTGCTTTGCTACAGACCATGGTCTTGGGAACTGCCCGGGGCCGCAGATCTACTCTGCCCAACAGGGTTGCCACGAGTCAGAATCAACTTGACAGCTATGGGCTTAAAGAGAGTTAAAAGGAATAAGCTGCACATGCCCCCAGGTCCCCACACTGGCTCTCCCTGGGACTGGAGCCTCCCAGCTGGCCACGCTGGCCGCAGCAGCCTCCTCTACTTCCCCTGCATGGTAGACACATGCAGCTCTCTCTGGACGCTGTGATACAATAAGGGCTGAGACATGCGGGTTTAGTGGGAGCTCACTTCTAGAAACTTGTAGCTACCCCCTCCCAGAAATCTAGTATAATGCTCTTATTTCTTAGGACTAAGACATAAGCTATTGATTCAAAGTCCAGGAATAAATCGATCCCTTTCTTTACAGAGAATATTTATGGTGGGGGTGCAGGGGAGGCTAAAAATATTGATCTCACACAGAAAGTAACTCAAATGTCCAATTGCGCTTCACTGACAAGCCAGGAAAGACTACAAAGGGGATGAATATGGCTTTATTTTAGGAAGAGATTAGAAAACCAACAGCAAACTTAACAATAACCGAACTGTCGAGCCTGGGGAGGGGAAGCTCATTGGGCTACGTTTGCAACAAAGCAAATACTTACTAATCTCCATGACCTTCTCTTTTCTCCCAACAATGCCCCAGCACACCACCTCACTCAAAGCTGAGGGGTGCAGGCAGTGATCAGCCAACACCTAAAGGAGGTGCTTTCGGTTTTATTTCTGTTTGGATCTGGAACCAAAACTCATTGTCGTCCTAGTTGAATTCCAACTAGCTGTCTGGTAGTGAGTCCTGGGTAGAGTACTGTATGAAGGCACTGCACACCTAGTCTGATGTCTGTTTTCACTGAGGGGACGTGCTGGAGGAGAACACAGCGTGCTGCACAGGGAGAGGCTGTGCCAGCAGAGAAAGGAGACAGGCAGCTCAGAAGAGAGACACCCTGTTCACCACTGTGCCCATACTGGTGCTGAAGGACCTAAGGAAGAACTAAAAATGGCACGGAAGCACTGATGATCCTGTGTTCCCTGGTGCTTCCATCATCTCCCTCGTACCCCAGAAAGGGGCATTCACATCCCCCTTCACCTCTGGCAGTGCGAAACCGCCAACCACTCCATGGGAGAAGGAGGAGACCTTCTACACCCGTGCATTTAGTCTGGGAAACCCATGGGGCAGGTGTCCTCTTTCTGTAGGTTGCTGTGAATCAGAACTCACTTGGTGGCAGGGAGTTTGGTTTCTGAATCACTTCCGAGAATGGCAGAAGCAATCTGATCAGGAGGACAAGGTGGCTGAACCACTGAATTCTCCTGCGGCCTCTAAAAAATGCCTCTGGTCCGGTTCTGCTCCCTGCCCCGGGATCAGGCAGCAGCCGTTACAGACTGCACAGCTCGCTGTGTTGATGCAGGAGTCTCGGGAGCTTCTGGGTGACGACGGCACAGGGAGAAGGTCACAGGTCAGGAGACCGGAATACCTGGAGGAGTCCCGCCAGCTCTGGCAATCCCCAGCTCTCCGAGAAAGCTCCGGGCATTTTCTTAGAAAACGTCCGCTTCTTCAAGAGAAGATCCTAATCTGAATC